CGACAAGTACTCGTGTAAGAACACTCACAACAACAGCAGACAAGACGTTGATACGAACAGCGTTCGAACTTGGTGCTCTGCCGGATAGACAAGTCGGGTTAGCAGGTCCATAAGAACAGACTGAGCATGCGCCGCAGTAGCACTGTTACAATGGGCATAGACCTGCGACTATACATGTCGTCGTAGCACGCAATACTCGTTGCGCGCAGAATTTATTGTCTTGCGAACTTAATGTGGGTTTCCAGTCCCTGGTTAATTCTGTGACACCTTCGGCTGTTCTTGATGCGTTCCATTTCGATGCATTAAGTTTGGTATAAGAGCACAAACGCCAAGAGAAATGAGTGTCTCAAAAAAACTTTCGTCTAGAACCATCTCCCTTTGCATGCTCTCCTTGCCGTGCCTCCATTGGGCTCACAAGAGCGAGCTAGACAGCTGAAGTCAAGCTTGGGCAGAGAGCGAAAGCATCGCTTGCGCCCAGCTCCCTGCGAATCTGGGATGCAAGCAGGGGCTCCGTTGATTTCACGTCATCAGTTTCGGGTAATATGGAAGCCTTTTAAGTCATTGCCCATACTATTTGGGGGTTCCTCATTATGAGTATGGTATAAGGGACCCCTAAACCCTATTCTATTTGATTAAGGCCCCTACATGAACTACACTGGAGGCTCCACCTCGAAGCCCCCACCGCCTAAAGCCTCAAAACATGACACCCCTGGAGTGCCGAAATTCCTTCAGCCAGAAGCGACGATGAAGAAGGGGCCAGGCCGAAAAGATTTCGAACTTGGTCACAGCGGGTATAAGTCCCTCTATGCCCTAAACGCACCGACATACCCGATACATCCTTATAAAACCCTCTAAAATCCCGGATGCCTGGCTACACCCGCTCAAGATTGGCCATCCCCTGGTACGCGGGGTCCCTTCAGCTCAGGCGGATTGGTTTAGCTCCGCTTGGAGGAGGCCCAAGCGCCGGGCCTTGGGGCGCGGTGTGGGGCCGGGGTTCCCCCCAGAGTGTGCCGGGTTTCGAGGCTTTTTGTTGCGCGCTTTCAATACCTTCGGATGTTTGGAGCTTTTTTGGTGAGTTTGTTTAGTCTTCAGTGGTTTTGGGAGGGCTTTTTGGGGCTTCAGGCTTTCGAGCTTTGGGGTCTTAGGGTTTGGGATTCTCACGTGTCTTGTTCCAAATGTCCACGGTGTGGGGGAGCCTTTGTCGAAAAATAGTCCATTCGGTAGTCTTTTCGACGGGCTCTCGGGATCCGGGTCTTAGCTCCCCAGGGTTTGGGGCATAGAGAGAGCCGAGGGGAGGGTGCCTTTTGGGTTTAGGGCCTTGCGATGCGGTTTGAGGCTCTGTGATCCCCCCTGAACCCAAGCTCCTCATGCAGGAAGCAAAGCTGATATGGACGGCAAGGAAGCCAAAAGGCAAGGGCTTCTGTTCCGTTCAGCTTGGAGAGTTTTCAAGTAATGCCTTTACCGAAGTAGAACGTGGCACCATCTTCGAAGTCCATTTTTAATCTTGCTGGAGGATCGACTTGCCAGCGCCTGTTTCTCATTGCTCCTCCGATGTTCTCTCCGAAGCCTCTTTGCCCTGCTTGCAGTCTATGCAGGCACGTGTCCTTCAGTGACGCGCACGACAAGAAAGCGCAGGAGCTGGGCCTCCGGGTGTCAGTTTGTGGACTTCGTGAGTTGAGAGCTGAGGAACTGGGATGCAGGAGTTAGGACAGTTGGGATGTTGACTTTGACTTCTGGATGGGGACTGGCCTCCTTGCATACTAACGGTTAAGGGGCGCAACTGGCGAGTGAATGAGGGGGCTTAAGGCTTGCAGGCTTTAGGGCCGCGGGCACACGTACAGACCATGTGAATGTGTTGTGCCACTGCAATGGATCTGTATTCAGGCCTGAGACCGGGAAGGCCCTCCAAAACCCCAAGCCCAAGAGCCTACTTAAAGGACCATGGGACTTAGTGACTTAGTAAGTATATACTTATAACCTTACTTACTACGTCCCATGATCCCTTAAGTAGGGCTCTCCCGGGCTCAGACGCATGCGCCCGTGCAATCCAGGACGACAACAAGCTGGAGCCTCGAAGTCCCAGTGATGGGGACAATTACAGTAGGGTTTAGGGTTTAGGGTTTAGGGTTTAGGGTCAGGTTCAGTGGCTTCCAGCTACTGTAAGCTTAAATCGCATCGCTGTGTGCAAAGACCCTATCTTAGATCCCCTGGAGAATTTTTTCATTTCCCACCACTACACGCTAAGTCCATAGCAGGGCCTCCAAGTTGGGGGTCAGGAGGTTTTCGTTGTGAGTTGGCGCAGAGGGTTTGCGGTGCTGGTCCCGGGTGCTTGAGGAGTTTTTTCTTGTTGTCGCAAAGGAATGAGATACAGCGCCGAATCTCAATTTCGTGAGCATGGTCTTGCACGACTTTGCAGTTACTACGCACACGGGCAAGCTACTTTTGCGAGGAGATCGAGGTAGAAAGCCAAAGCGGGAGTTCCAGAAACGAACGAGAACACCGATATTGCACTGTTTCTATCGCGGATCCTTGTGGTTAATAAGAGCCTTTAAGGTACCCTGTTCAGCAGTCTCCAAGTATCGCGAGCTCAGAGCTCAAGGATCCATGGCTCAGCAATTCCTCAAGTCCGTTCTGCAAGTGCCTTCTGCCACGATGGGCACAGGGGACCTCCGGATCCTAAACAGATCACACGAGCAATAGCAGCAAGAAGCAGAATAGTGATGGTGAAGCGGGAAACTTACACCATGCAGACGCCGAAGCTGCACGACACCTGAGCACATGGCCAGCAGCAGGAAGGATGTGCTGACTGCTGTGCCCTCCTTCCAAGTACCCGAGAAGACTGCCGATGTCTTCCGGGCCTTTCTGCGAAACCGCCTGCTCCACATTCCAGGCCCCGCAGCTGCGGTCGGAATTTGGGCGGTCTGAAGATAGCGGAGCTCTGCAGAAGTTTGATTTCCCCTTCTTTCGGGCTTGACTGCAGCAAGGCGCACCCAAAAGATGTCTAATTCAGGGTTCTCTGCTGGCCTCTTCCAACAGTGAGTCTTTGCAAGACGATGAGCCTAAAGTGAAGCCTGCCGTTTTCACATCTAGCGAAAACCACCCCCCCCCCCCCCCCCCTTGTGTTTCATCACCTTATGAAGGCTGCCTGACAAAGGAACCAAGAGCTTCCTGAAGTGCCGAAGGAGCAACCCGGCAAGGAAGTCGCCCACCGGCTGCGGCACAGGCGAAACAGGTGCTGCAGGAGCGGTTGAGGGAACTCCACGAGATCCCCGATATGGGAGTTTTCGAAAATGAGGGATACCTTATTTGGGGGTCCTTATAATAAGGATCCTACTATTTAGGGTACTATGTTAGGGTCCCCTATTTTCGGAAACCCCCATATCGTAATGGGTGTCTATTGAAGCTTCTGGGCATTGGGATGCAAGGGCCCTGACAGCCCACATCAGTACAAGGATCTTACGATTACGGTTGTCTGGAACCTTTCGAATGGGGTCCGCCTCTCCACACAAGCAAAGCCGAATTTTTTGGGTTGTTCCTTGATCCTGCACACTACTCATGACACTGGCTTAAGTTCATGCTTAAGGGTGGAACTAAGAGTTGAGAGGGCGAGACGTAACCAGAAGTCTCCTGAAATCCCCTCCTAAGCCGCGATGAGCTGGAGGAGTACCTCTCCGGCATCTACAGAGACGTCGCTGCACAGAACTGGACCTCTGAAACATCTGGTGCCTCGCCAGAAGCTGCGAAGGACGGAAGCATCTGTTAAACTGAATAATCCTTGTTGCAAGACTGCAAGATTAGTACAAAGCAACCAAAACCCTTGTTTAAGCCTGTCCTTCGATTGGCTTAGTCTGTCGTGCTTCAGGCTGGGGTCGATAGAACTGGCTACGTTCTGGTAGCTCTTCGACAAACATGTACTCCTCTCAGAAAAGCTCTGTTAACCCAGGGTACACACAGCAGCAACAAAAAGAGAAGCACGACTAAGATAAGTAAGCTCGTGTCCATTCCTTTTGTTCCGGACTCAGTAACCCCTGTCACCACCCTATTCATCGATTCCGTCGCTTCGGGAGTTGTGAACTCGAAACCACGACTGCAAGTCTTTACTGGTTCGGTCGGTCGGAGCGAAAGTTCAACGCATTTTCAGGCTGCAGCACTTTTTCTGTGGAGGTGTTCAAGTTGTAGTTTTGTTCAGGTAGCGTGGTGAAAGGCACGTACGTGTAGAGGGCCACCAAGCAGGAATCTTACGAAACTCTACCCTGCAGGAGGCGTTGGCCAACTCCCGGTCACCTCGTGTCCAAAGGTGGTATGGCAGCTTCGTGGTAGACGGGGAGGTCACGTTTTCGAGTTTGGAGCTTGCTGATGACAGTAGACGTAGAAAATACCAGACATGTTGCAAGAGCAAGGGTGGCAGTCTAGATATACCAGTTTGCATCTAGAAGAGTCCAACACAATTAGTCCCTGACGAGGCAGCAGAGGACCTCGTTGTCGCATTGGCCAGCTGCGGAGTGGAAACGAACCCGATCGAAATGTGGCTGCAGGTGGCACTGTAGGCTTTTAGTTTCATTTTTGGATTGTATATGGGGTCGGATAAGCGGAACGAAACCGCCGGAATCGTGGAAGCCATCGTTCTACTATTTACAGCACTGGCCTAAGTCCCTCAGCAAATTCTTGCACATATGATTTCATGCTAATGACCCCCAGATAAGACAAACTAACTCTGCTGCTGCGGCAGAGTGCCCACATTGGAGCAACCCCTAGCAGTGTCGCTGCCGGCTGTGCCGCTTGCACGAACGAGCAGAACGCCGAAGCAGGCAAGCTGTGGAACGTTATTCTCTTGTTGGCAGCATCTAGCCCCGGCTGAGCAATAAAAGCTTTGACAGGCCACATTGAAGCTCACGATTTGTTGGCTGCTGTCACTAAGGACGAGTGCAGACCTACTGGCACCGCATGGTGTTTCTTTGGGGCAAATGCTACAGACATGGGTATGCAAGGAAAGCCAGAGCATGTCGACCAGCTTGCACCTGGAACTATCACCGTACACACCCAGCTTTGCGGAAGAAAAGTCTGGAAGCTCCGGCCGCATCTGCTGTGCCCGAGTTGGTCCGGTGGAGCGCCTCTACTGTCGGCCTCCTGCTATGCCGGACGATTGGAGCTTCTTTGCCAGGTGGCTTGACGAATCTGGCGCATGCGAAATCAATGAAGCAACGAAAAGCCAGTGTTCCGAACTCGAACCGCGATCTGCCATCCCCTTCGCAGTGACAGGGGCAAGTCGTGTTAGCGATAATTTGCCCATCCTTCCAGACTCCCGAGGAGCAGGTTTAGCGGTCCCTTCACAAACAGACCCCTCGAGGAGGGCGACCTCCTCCTGGTAGATACCGCGGCCTGGTATCACACCACCGAGATCCCGGCTTTGACAGACTTTTCCTTCTCTTTGGCGCAGGATCCAAAGACTTCCAAGCCCCTTTATTCGGAGTATGCCGTATTCTTAATATGGTTTGAGCCATATCCCTTACTTGAGTCTCTGAAGACCTTGTATTGTCAGCAAGGCGAATGCCACCGTAGGCGCTGTTGGAGTGACTGGGAGAGCTGCAAGACTGTCGCAATTGAAGTTGCTTCGTTCTTCCTAGATCTCTTGCGAGCGAAACTAGCACTAGCAAACTCAAGCGACAGTGAATCTTGATTGAACACGTCCAGAGGACTTTTCCGAACGTCTGCCGGGCGAAAGGCAGGAAGCAATGGAAGCAATACAGCCCTTCGGCCCGAGCAGACAAAGAGGGTCTTTTTGGACTCTGGAGCCTCCTTGAGAAGCGCATGTTGATGCTTTTTGTTGAGGCTGATCTTGGGGTTAGGGTTTAGGGTTTAGGATTTATGGTCTCATGCCTGGTGAACCAAAACAACAACACAGGTTGCGCATGGTACTTCGGGGCTTTGGGCATCCGTCGGAGCTTTTTTGCCCTTCTCATCGTTAACGATGCAGACCTCCAGATTCAGACGCCCCAAATTGAAACTATTTGGACAAAGCTCTACACCCAAGGCTAAAGACAAAGATCCTCCTTCCAAACCTCTCTTGCCACCCCTGGAAGAGAGTCTGCCTAAGGTACCGAGTGGTGCATCAGCTTTGCCAGGACGTACCCCAAGAGCCTGAGCCCAACTCGTTCCCAAGCTTCAGGGTTTAGGTCCGTTTCTTAATGGAGGGGGCTCTCCGGGTGCTTGAAGCTTGCTGGAAAGGGAGCCCTCCCTCTTCAGAGTGCCTTATGCCAGGCCGAAAGGAGGTTCTCAAGTCCCTGCGCCTCGTCGTTCTTGGGCGTTAGGACTCCGACCTTCGACTCCGGAGCCCTTGGCATAGCTCTCCGAGGCAGATGAGCCTTCGACGTCTCGATCCAGCAAACGCGGGGCTGGGTTTTCGTAGGCCCCAGCGGACTTAGCAAGTAGGCTGCAGGGTTATAAGCATCCTGACTGGAGCCACTCTACTCAGAATTTTAAACCATGACCTGCTGACTGAATCCTTGATCCCTCGAGTAGATTTTATCCACCAGACGCTTTCTCCTTGAACCCAAAACCTTAATCGTCGTTTTGTTACCACTTTCTATGTCCTATATTGAACCTCGCCGTGAGTATAGACCTCATTCATGCGAGAGGGAAAAAAATCGTCGTTTTGTCGCGGAATGTTTCGATGTCTTTGATAAGTCTCCTGGGTTTGAAACAATACTCCGGCACATGCCGAAACCTACTCCAAGTGTCACGGCCCCTAAACCTACCTATACCCTTTCTCTTACGATTTACCTACCGATCGGCCAGGACTGCATGACCCCCACGACGCCACCTCCTGGTGCTCCGCCTGGCACTTGTGGCTGCCACTTGGTTTGTTTGGGGCTTTTGGGTTGTAGATCTCAGAGCTGAGGAATGTTTCTGATCTCCAGGTCACTGCGGTCGTGAGCTTTTTCAGAGTTGTCCCGGTTCTCCGCCATGAATGTTGCCAGAAGCCTGGGGTTCAATGCTCAAATCTGTCGAAAGGACTTGAGTGCAGGCACAACCGCAAAAGGCAGCCACGCCTTCAGTCCCTAAACCTGGTTTTGCCGGATCTCAGGCCAGTGCTGCAGCCAAAAGCGGCTGGAAGCTTCGATGTTCCGCAGCTGCCGCCGGAGCGCGATGCTCACACAGCGCCTCGCCAACTCTTGGAGCCCATGTCCACATTGCCCCTGTAACTCCTGGCATGTAGATCTGCATCACCAACCACTTCCGGGGACACAGCCAGGCTTGCCGGGAGCTCCCGTCGTGCAAGCCTTGAAGAACCAGTCGTTGTCAGGCACACCCTTACACCCTTGAACCTTAGCCTTAGACCTTTTAAAGCACAAGAAGCACCGCTCCTGTACTGGGGACCACAGTTGGCGACAAAAAGCGAAGCCAGGGAGTGTGCCACAAAAAGCCTGGGATCCTCGGACGGATCGGCTTGAGGCATGCTCCAGCCGCAACCCAAGCCGTGAAAGTCGTGCTAGTGCTGCTAGTGGTGATGATCATTGAGAGTGCTAATGCAGAACACCGTCACAGTGAGATCAATGATACACATAATGCTGACGATACTGTAACCAGTGCAACATGGCTGTGGTAGAGCCAAAGGGCAGATGCGACATGCGGAGTTAAGTATCGCAACACGACTCGTGTATCCCTGTATGCATGCTGCATGCATACATGACCAAGTACACCACCTCCTTGCCAAAGAAGAGCAACTGCATGCACTCTGTTTGCTACCCCTAAACGGCAAAGCACGAATATCCTGGACATCAAGTCTAAGAATTTGCGACCTTAAATGTAGTGGTCCGAGTTGTGAAAGCGTAACTGTGGTGGCCTGACTGAAGAGCCAGTCAGTTACACTATCCCGTGTATAGTCCGTAGAATATGAGTGCAGAGGCGGCTCCTTCGCCGACTTCGCTATGCTGCAACCGAGTCGCTGCTCTCGCGGCTTCGGCTTCCGCAGCCGGCGCTCTGCGACGACCCGACCAGGGGCCTGCTGAAAAATAAGTGTGGATTGCTTGCTAAGGAACTTCGCTTAGGTTACCTTGATACTGGGGAATGCTCAATACTTTACTGTATATCCTGACGATGGTAATGGTAATTTCAGAAGAACTCCAAACCAGCCAGTATGAGCTATAGAGCAGAGGCTTAGTCGGTGCAGGGTTAGACAGCTTAGCATGTGTGGTTTAAGAGCTATGGCTACTGGGTTTTCGGGGTGAGGGTCTACAGGCTACAGGTTTTCCGGGTAGGCGTGCAGACTCGAAACGAAACCTGTCGTAGAAACTTTTGCGGAAGCCCATGCGATCTACTGGGTCATGTGTATCAGCAGAACCAACGAACCTGTTTTGCTTGCGGGTCGTGTCGCTGTCGTGATCATATTCTAAGGTTCTTCTGCTCAAAGGCGATGAAAGCTAAGTAGATTTTTACTTCGACATATACACACCACCTCACACAAGGGAGCAGTTGACCCCCGACCCTGTAAAGAGAAGACAGCCATAGAGGAGGGATCTAGAAAAGCTCGCCTCCTCCCCCCCCCCCCCCCCCCCGCTGAGGCCTTCTGGGCCATCCATCCCCAAGGGCCCAGGGGATCGATGGAAGATCCCGCCCAACTACGAGGTCGCCCGGTGATCTGTAGACTCCAGTAAGGCTAGCAGTTGCAAGCGTCGTTGTTGTGGGGGCAGGTGGTATCATGACAAGCCTTCTTGCTGAGTTTGCTAAAGGCACCTCGCGAGTGGGCATGTCCTCCTCGGAGTGGTATTAGAGTTATTTAAAATTTAGAGCTGGTCAGATAGGATGCCGTTCTCGGCTTCGTGGTTTTGTTGTGGCTGCAAGCTACAAAAACTCGCGGGTAGATCGGCGGTGTTGGATTTGATACCACTGCGCTTCTCCGGGCCTCAGAGACCTTTTCTTCAGAAATTGACAGGGTTCATAGCCTGGGCCGCCTTCGGTTCACAGCTGGGGGGGAGACCTTTGCAGTTCGAGACGAGCCGAGCCTCTGAGAGCGGCTCTTGACATGGCTGGGTCTCGGGGTCTGGGTGTTAGGCAAGCGGCAGAAGCTTGCAACCAAGACCTCAAGCACCTGCCCGCTGCCCTAAACCCAAATCTCGGGCGGCCTCCGTCCTCTTTCAGAAGGATTCCACTTGGCCAGAAGATGATAGGTATCTTTGTCATTTGCATAGTGGTGTTGCTTTCCTTCCGTGTAGCCAACTTGCTTTGGGCAACCTGTCTGGCACCTGGAGGTCAAGCAGCTCATCGGCACAGGCTCCTATGGAAGCGTCTGTGAGGCAGGCACATTTGATCAAGGGACATGTACTCCTGGCAGACATCCGGAAGTCTTCCCCAACAGCTTCACAAACTTATTTGCCGTCCTTCGATCGAAAGGAGGAATCCCACGTCATCAGCTTCCGGGCAAAGTCCACTTTAGTCTAGGATACAGAAGATGTGTCATAAGATTTGGAGCAACCCCTTGATGCTTTGGCGTCGGGCATGCATGTGAGAAAGGTGTTTCAACTCTTGGCGAAGAGTTTGGGGGTTTCGGACTACTTGTCAGCATCGGGGGGGGTAATAAAGAGGTTATGGTCAGAGGCCCTTGTCGGGATAACCCTGCTTCTAAACCTGTATGTGACATCGCAGGTTACGTCGGTTAATCTTCGAAGCAGGTCGAGTTGAGGCTGCTTCCGATCTGCCAACAGGCCTTTGACACCAACAAGAAGCGGCTCGTGGCAATCAAGAGGACTTGGGACGGGGCCGAGTGGCCCTGAAGAAAGCCAAGAAGCTTCTAGCTTAGATGACCCAGATGTGATGCGCCGAACCGCTCGAAGTGCTCTTTCCCGTGAAGTATAGCCCTACACGAAATCCGTAGTTCAGACAAGTCCTGGCCCACAAATTCCAAAGGAGACGATCGGTATTGTGGACAATGGTTATAATTACAGCCAGTCGCGTGGCTGGTCATTGTCGTTCACTACGTCGAAATATCGATATAGATAAACAGATACATAGATACGTGGATACATAGATACAGAGGCATTTGTATATATATATATGTATATATACAGAAAGCGTCGCACTCTCCAGAAATATTATATATATATATATATATATGCGTGTGTGTGTGTGTGTGTGTGTGTGTGTGTGTGTTTTTGTTTAGGTATTAATTTATGACTTATACTATATTTAGAGTTATGTGTATATGTGCATGTTATGATTTATGTCGTTATTAACTTCTTTTTTGATTTAGGTATACATCCAGAAGTAGGTGGTGCAATTCTGATAGGAGTGGTTATGCAGTTCCACTCTATCATTTCAAGGGTTGAAGTCGGTCATCACCCTCCCGAAGCCTGCTCCTTCAACGTCGGCATCGTTTTTGGTTGTCTTGGAGCTGCTCAGGGAGACCGAACTAGACCTATCGAAACTCCAGTACCAGAGGGCTGTGACTGAACCTCGGACCTTAGAGTGCCGCCTGCGACGCCAACCAGAAAGAAGTGGGCAAGCTCTCAATGTGCCTGCACCTCGTCCTTTGGCAGAAACAGTGAAACAGTGAAACACTGCATCATGCAGTTGTGTGGTATTTCCAGGTTTTAATTCCAGATTCTAAAATGAATGAGGCGCCGAGAAAGCCCAAAAACCCTCAACGATGTGTCCAGCAAGCTCCTAAGCCCAGACTCCCACTAAACCTGCATGCCTAAGTATCCTAGATGGCAGGATTGCGCACATGTTTGAGGATCTCATCGACTGTAAGTTGCAGCCTCAGGTTTGAGCGGAGCGCGCAAAACGTCTGTCTTGGGGAACCCTCAACTTATCCGCTGCCAAGGCGAATTCTGCGTGAGATCGCGATTCTCTCCAAGCTGGAGCACGAGAACATTGCCGGAACCTGAGACGCAGGAGCCGGCAAAGGCCTTCAACCTATCCACCTCAAGGATCCGTCTGAAGCAGTTTCAGCTCAGCACATGATTTACTTCAAGGGGCCCGGTGCATGGGAAGGTTTTCATGCAGCACCCCACGCACTTGGAGGGTCATAACCCCAACTTACAACTGAAGTACCATGTCCCGATCCCCAGGCTTAGAGCACCAATTCAGCATCACCCGAACCCATCCAAGGGCCGAGATGACAAAAGCCTATCGGCAAAAAGTTCTCTGACCCTGAGATTTCTCGAGATTTGCAGTGGAAGAGTAGGAGTGACCGCAGTTGACCGACAATTCGCTTCGATGTTCTCAACCTTCTCTCTTTGCGCGGCTTGCAACTGCAAGCCTTTTGACTGAGGTGCAGATCTATGATATCGTGCCAGCCCCTGCTCGTTCAGATCAACTTTTTTGACTCATCAAGCACCCTCTCACAGAAAATGCCAAGCAGAGGATTTGGGGTTTAGGGTTCTGGAGCTTAGCCCCAGAGATCCCGCGCTTGGTGCATCGCATCCCCTGTTCAAGAGGCCTTGGGACTTCGTTTCTGCTCAAGTTTGGGTTCACAAAGAGGGGTTTCGCTTCCCAGAGCAAGTAATCTCCTTCAAAGTCGGCACCTGACTCACTTCCCCTCCTCCGTCCTTGCTTTGTTGGGGCTTCCATCAGCTTCGGTGCAGGAGCGTAGTTTAATTGCCTTTGCATCTACAGCGTCCTGCAAGTGTGTGTGCGTGTGTGTTGATATACATTTCAACAGATGCACACATACCGTATATGTACATTACGTACACACTATACATATGTGTTTACATATATGTACATATGACGGTGCCAAGTGGGAGCCAACATATATGTACACATAATCTAAACTCATGTGTATATATGTCCCTTTTACACATGTTTGCATGTGTGCACATACAGTTTTATGGACGGTTGCCCGTGCATGTGCAAGTTTGCTGTCTGTTGTGAAAGCTGTCAGGCAAACGTGCAGCTAGTGCAGTGTATTCGCTTTTGTCAGCCTTGCCCAATTCCCCCATGTGGGGCTCTAGGCTGTGTTTATTTGTGCGCTTCCTACGTCCTAGTTTGGTTGGACTGCTTTGTTGAGTCACAGGTTCTGTTGCCGTACTTACGTCGTTGCCTGTTTGCTGTGCAAGTCTGCGCACTTGCGGGTGTGCAGAGGCATAACCTGACTGATTCGGCAAGCCGAGAAGCGACACTAAGACCGTGGATGTGGCTTTAGTAACTTTAGTAGGTTGGGGAGGTTAGCTGAAGGTTTAGGGAAGGGCCACCTGCTGAACGTCTTTCTTCCGCCGAACCAGGGGCACGAGAGGCGTCTCGTCTCCACTGACTCGGCGACTTGCTTTCACAAACCCAAACCAACACGCTTTCACTCCGGAATCTCAGGTCGCTCCCAGCAACATTCACACGTCGAGCTCGGCCCGTTGTCAGGGTGATCTGCTCTACTCGCGGTTGCAAGATCAGGGTCGGATGACGGATGACGGCAATTCCATAGATTTTTCTGCACTCTACGAGGCATTGTGCACATCAATCGAAGCTACTGCATGACGCAAGAGATCATCAGATGCAGGCCTATGGGGCACAAGAAAGAATGCCAGGTTCGACGAGCTTTACATGGTAATGGAGATCTGCGATTCCGACTTGAAGAAGCTGTGCCGCACGGACCTTCCGCGTTGCACTGAATAGGCGGCAGGTCTTGGGGTTCTCTGCTGGGACCTTGTACTTTCGCGCCACATCTGCCCACTCTAGCTCCGCAGGTTGCGAGGTCTCAGGCTGCAGAGCATGAGGGGCCATGCTCGTCGCCCTCCAGGACGTGACTCTGACTCCGCTCCACATCAATACGCTGTTGTACAACCTACTCGTGGGCCTGAAATACCTGCATTCCGTCCGTGGCCCAGGGATCAACCATGATTCTGACCATGCCTGCTGTGTGTCTCTTCTACGCCTTGAGAAGTCGAGACGATGTTTCCATTGAGCTTGAGCTGGGAGGTACTAGTCAAAGATGAGTGCACTGCTTGAAAATCAACGCAGCGCGACATTGCTCTTTCACCTGATATGTCCGAGCAAACTTCACCAGAACTTCGCTGAGAGCTGCAGATTATCCAAAGCCCGCCCTTGAAAATTCTCTTCCGAAAGAAACGGCCTGATTTTCTGCTGTCAAATCTAGATGAACTTGAGCACCGATCCACATGCGAGCCGACAGTCTGAACATAAATCCAGAAGTGCATGCAACACCCTTTCTCCACCACAGCAAAGCACGAAAACCCTCGATGTAGAAAAGCTCCAGAGATCCGAGGCCGGCATCTACCACCGAGATTTGAAGCCGGCTACTGCCCTAGTGGACTGCTTCCGGCCTCCCAAGTAGAAGATACTTCTTACTGTAGGATTTAGGCTACAGTCTCTGCAGTCTCTTCAGTGGCAAGAGCTGTGTGACGGGAAGTGGGTTTCAGACCCTTGGTTCATGTGGGGGTTTCCGAAAATTAGGGTACCCTATTTTGGGGTCCTTATAATAAGGATCTTACTATTTAGGGTACTATATTAGGGTCCCCTATTGCCTGAAACCCCCATGTCGTGATCACTGCAGGTGTATTTACACATTTGGTGTTGTTGCCATGGTCCGAAAGCCCTCTACTCAACCTCCGAGTGCTGGTTGTGCGCCTTTCCTAAAGGCCACGTAGCAGTGCATGTCTTCTCCTTCCCTAAGGGACGGATTTGCTCAGGACTTTCTGAATATGATTTCTGCCAGAGGTTCATGCGAGCGTATGGCGTAGACATGGCCTTTTCACGACAGGGCTGGGCTTCGAAGCTTGGGTCTTTTTGCCGCTGGGAGCCTTGGCGCCAAACTCGTTACCGAGGCCAACTGCCTCGTCAACCAGGACGTCAGAGCTCGACGGCTTTTCACAAATCCAAAAAGTTGAACGTGTCAAAGGTTCATCGTATAGGCTTTGATTCAAACAGGTGGACGGTTCAGAGTTTCGGCGGACGAGGCTCTGAACCCTACACTAAGGGGGGAGATATGAATGTATCTGTTCATGTTGTTACGTATTTTAGCAAGACTTCCTTTCACTAACACAATTCAACATATTTGTGTACGGACATCTGAAAGCCCATATCAAACATGCACGCCGGCAGGACTGCTCCGTGAAGATCTGCGACTTTGGCCTCAGCCGCGCCATCGAAGCAGCAGAGCAGCCACATTTGCATGCGCCCGGGGACCCGAGCCACGGTGCCACGGGTCTTTTGGAGAGTCGAAGGAGCGGCGTGTGCCTTTTGCTTTCTGGGGAGCTTCGGGCTTGTCTTTGGAGATCTGGGCTACAACTTGCAAGCTGCAGGTGTGATACGAAACTGCAAAGAGGGGCTCGGAAAGGCAGAGGGTTAGGATTTGGAAAGCTGAGCTAAGTGCTGTGGACTTCTCATCACCCCTCACAGTGTTCAACCGATTCATGGATTCGTCATTCTTTGAGTTCGAATCTCATGGAACTACTCAAAGCCTTCTGCAAGGTGCTTGTGATTCGCATTTTACATCTTCCCTGTAGCTCAACCACACAGCGCGTCGCACACAAGGCATCTGGGCTTAAGCCGTACATCCGGTGCAGTTCTTGGTGTGTGCGTAGGCCAGGTTCCAGCACGGAGTCCTGAGCCCAAAGCTTCCAAGTACCACTGCAGAAACTCCCAGATGAAGCACTTCAGCGCAGACTTTGCCAAGAGTCCGTTTGTGTGCAGTCTCTCTTCCAGGCAATGTTGTGCCTTTCGGATTCATGTGCCCGCAATCTGAGGCGTGATAATCCTTAGCGAAACCCTCAAACTGATATCCCTTTTCGCCACGCGCACGTTTGCCAGCGCCAAGGCTTCCAAACACGCAGCCGGCTCAGAGCTTTCCGAAAAGTCGCCTCGAGGAATGAGGCATTTCAGAAGCCTCAGAGGTTTCTCTTATGATGGGGGGGTCTTGCTTTAAGGGGTTCCCGTCGGGTCCCGGCTTTTTCGTTTCAGTGCGGGTTAGGGTGCTCACAATCTGGGATGATAGTCAGTGATCTAGTGTCCGAAAACGCTCGAGGTATTGCGGCATGAAAGCATTCCCCGAGGCTTTCTCGAACTGCGAAGGCGCCCAGAAGCCTTAGGAGCCCCAAACCTTGTAACCGCGATGCCGCTTTCGTGGGAAAACCGTGGGGAAGTCGCCAGAGACACCTCAAAGATTCCTAGAGCCCTTGGGAGCCTCTGAGGCCACGGGGTGAAGGAGACCATGACGCCGGGATCTCAAGCGGAGTTTCTCCGAACAAGGGATCCCGTAATTTGTGTTTGGGGGACGGGGGGCCATGTAAGTGGTTTCCTGCTACTCGAGGTTAAGTAGTAGCTTGCGTCCCTCACTGTCTGTCCTGCTTTCGGATACTCTCCCTTCCTCGGGAAAGTTTTCCGGTAGAATCCTGCACGAAAACAGGGTAGGCTGGTTTTGCGAAAAGGGACACATCTTGTGTGGGATGCTGAATCAAGGATCCCACTTGATTGCAGAAGGCTGACCGCGCACTACGCCATGATGTAGTTGACTCCCTCCTGAGACCTGCGCTCTGTTGGCCTCGGGAGGATCTTGTGAAAGCTGCAGACCCCGCAACTCAGTGTTGAATCCGAAGAGAGGAAGCGGGAAAAGACCGAAAGCCCTGTTGCTGTGAGGCCGTGCCAGGGGTCCCGCACACACAGCGCCTCAAGAGGCCCCCAGTCTAAATGGGACTTTGACTGACAGATGTGAATGTGCAACTTTGTGAAATCCGGGGCTCGACATGAGATCACAAGCCGCACGTTCAGCTAGAAGCGGAAGGGGGAGTTAGTGTCTACTGAAGTGCGCTTCTTGGTTTAGGTTTGGAGCCTCGCATCTCGGGATGGCACTCAAGGTTTCGTCTGACTCTGCCAGTCTTCATGTTTTCCGGGGGCTTCAGGAGGAACCGAGGCACTCCACTGTAAGAGCCCATTGAGTGCCAGGACAGTCTCGCATTTCATGCAACCGCACATTGCCCCCAGTACTTGAGCGCGAAACCCTCTGAAACCCACTCGAAGCCTGACAGAGAACCTTCAACCGACGCAGCCTGGCCGTAGACCCAAGCCTGGAACACAAACGCACGGTAGGTTCCACGTTAGTACAGTCTCCAAGGGAAAGCAAGAACCATCGCAGGAACCTGACTGGACACGTGGTGACCAGGCGCCCCTTTCTGCAGCGTCATGAGAGAATTGCCATTTCTTTAGTAGCCCTTGTACATCTTGTGGGAATATACTGGTAGATGGTTTGCTGACCTGCTCGCTTGGAGAGAATTCTCGAGCAAACACAACGCCGAAGTTGCTCAGAACCTCGTGCCCAAAGCCGGTCGCTGCAGCATCAGGTACTGCTGCGCTGCTGCTACTACTGCTTACTACTACTTTCTACTGCGACTACGACTACGACTACTGCCACTCCTTCTACCACCACCACCACTAATAAGAAGAAGAAAAGGAAGAATGGTAATATCAATCATCATTACTCCTACTTACTGCTACCAGCAGTGCACAAAACACCAGAACTGCCATGTGCCGGCTAGGAGAAACCCGGTTTGCCAGGTGGTACCGAGCCCCTGAACTCATCCTGCTGCAGGAGAATTACACCGAGGTGGTTGTGTTGTGCTTTTGAGGTAGGGTTCTGGATGTTTGCGGGCTCCAGGGATTGAGGGTGTCCGCAGGCTTGGATGCTAAAAAAGAAGTTCGTGGGTTTTGACTTCAAGGGTTTTCAAGCAGTTCGTGTGATGGGCTGGGGAGTTTGACAGCGCTGTTGCGTTCGGGATTTCGGGATGACACGTGTAAGGTCCTGGTGTTGTGCAATTATGACTGTCGAAGCCAGACAACATCGCAGCAACGCAATTGCAGTTGAGAAAGCGCACGGCGTCACAGAGATTGTGAGCGCTTCGAAAAGACAGCGATCGAATGTGTTTACTCCTGGTGCGAGAATCCAATAGCAACTATGGTACCTGTTGCCTCATCGCTTGGGCAATGTTCAAGAAGTTAGAACTGCGAAACAGACACCAGAACCGTCAAGCCTGAAGAAGACGATGAAAGACCAGCCTGGGAAGGCGATTGACATTTGGTCGGTGGGCTGCATTTACGCCCGGGGCCTTCCTCCAGGAATGCTCAGGTTTGGCTTTCAAGCGCTTCCGGTAAAGCAGTATTTTTTGGTGGACTAGGCGAGGTTCCGGCACCACGGTCCGCGCAGAGCCTGCAGCGACTTACACCCCAAATGCCCTACGCCTTGCCCAAGCCCCAAGCCCTCCGCCTTCTCGCGAGGCCCAGAGATCCCAATACACCTTACTTACGGAATACACCTTAAATCATAGGGGCCTTAAGCGGCCTTAATAATAATATGGTTTAAGGTATACTCCTTAATTAAGGGGTATTGGGTTCTCGCCCGAGGTTCCCCGAGCAATTTAGGGCCGAAAGCCGAAGCCTCCCGAGGCAGAGCTTCTCGGAATGCTCGAGGGCACAAGGACCCAGGCGGAATCTCAAAGGGAAGCCTAGCCCTAGTAAGATTTAAGGTATATTCCTTTATTCCCCTTATAGAGCCCTTATAGATCCCTTCAAGGAACCCCTGTAGGAAGCTTTAGGAGAGAATGCTTCTTGGCGACTTTTGGTGGGTTTGTTGGTGTTCAGGGCCTTTTGGGGGTGTGCGGCTTTGGCCCACGCTCCCTCGAAAAAGAAGAAGCACCCAGAGCTGCAGAGACATAGGACTCTGCGGTCGAATCATATTGTGGCACCGTGGCTGATTCTTCTACGGGGGGTCCGTGTTCTGATGTAGAAGACCGAGAGTAGACCTAGCTTCCGCGAAGCTTCGCCGCGAAAACACCATGATCATCACCTCAGTGGCTGCGATCCCGAGTACGGTTGGCGCACGGTTCAGGGTTCTGACGCGAAGCTCTCATGCCAGGATCGAGGGCCTCTGTTCCCGGGCTCGTCGTGCTTCCCATTGTCGCCCGATCACAAGCACAAGTGCCTTGGATGAGGTCTCCGGTAGCGACAAATGTGCAGAGGAGAGACACATAGCTGAGGTTTCTAGGCAGTTGACAGAACTTTCAGGGACGGGAGCGGCTGGGGCGATTAGGCAGATGTCGAGCCTTAAGCTTCCTTGTCCTTTCTGTTTCACAGCATTGGGAACGGAAGATGGATGAACCTGGCATGCCCGTGCTTTTGCAATGCCCTATCCTTGCTTGCACACCACGCCGAGGACGGACTACAAGTATCACACGCCCGGCGCCCAGCTTGCCGTGCTTCTTCATCTCGGGATGGCTCGACCTTATTGGAGCTCGGGCAACCATGGAAGGAAAGGGGCTTCTGCATTCCCAACTCAAGACCTCTTGGAGAACCACGTGGTCTGTCCCAGGCGAGGGAAGCACGACCAACTGAACATGATTTTCAACCTCCTGGGCTCCTTGGCTTGGATCGGGAGAAGAGCCTTAGGGTTCTTTCTCGTAGGTGCTATTCCGGGCCGCAAGCGTAAAAGACTGCTTCTGCCGTGCCTGCAGGAATGCCCAACATGGACGAAGACAAAAAGCTTTCGGTGTTCAAAATCATGGGAAACAGGTTTAGAACTGAAGATGACCTTTGGCAACGGTTTCTACCTGTGTTGCAGCACTGGTCCTGGCGCAACCGCCAGGCACGCCGGGAGAGCCAGATGTGGAGCAGCTAGAGCGGGAAGACGCAAAGAGGCCACGGAGCTTGGCCTTGCGTTGAACAGGGGTGGAGTTACGATGCAGGAGATCCTGTCTTTGGGTCAGCCCAAACTTTCTGCTGTGAAGAAATGTTTGGTGTTCTTGCCGGGATGAACGGGGCAAGCCTTAGAGCACAGCGCATGGATGTGGGGTAGTTCAGCTCACAAGAGGGTTTGTATTGTGCCGGTGCTCGTGCTACGAGTCTGACTCATCTCGACTTCTTGGTATGACGAGTCTTGCTGACCATGAAGACCAGGTCAGTAGATGGTGAAGCTATCGCAGGCTACTCCAGCTATGAACAAGTTGCACGTAGCACACTGCTACTTACTCATCTGCTCAAGCAAGCGGGAAAGAATAAGATGCGCTGCTGGCAATGATATAGGGTGCCATGTGGAAGCAACATTCTGCGGCATGAACGTCCGTCGTCTGAACTCTGGTTGTCTGCATGTCGGTGCGACAGCGAAGGCTTCAAGGTGCAATCCTTGCCACTTAAAGGCCGGCCCCTCCCCGGAAGATGATTCAGAAGGTCCTGCCTCCTGCAAATGGCCTTTGGGTAGAACCCTGCTGCTGAGAGGTACATTCGTTGCTTCGCAGCGTGCAGAGCCCAGTTGTCCCTGTGGTTGCTGCCTCTGTGTTTTCATCATAAGAGAGCTCGAGTCCTACTCGGAACTCGGAGCCGCCCGAAATCGGACAAAAGCCTAAGCCAAGTCTAGGGAAGTCCATCGCCACAGAGCCTCGGCGTGGCGAAGCCTTGGGAGCAGTGGCGATGGCGAAGTAACAGAGCGCTACATGCAGGTATCCTAGATAAGATCTAGAAGTGTATGAGTACAACACCTCTACCTCAGGCGCGATGGCGACGGGTTGAGCGTGAAATTCCCCGGGGTGGAGGCTGGGATCCTCAAGTTTGTGATTAGCTGGTACTGGGCACGTCGGGGCTTCCTCGTTGCCTGCATCCCCGAAGCCCAGGTCCCTCAACTCGGCTGCAGGAACCTTCGGTTTTCTTGAGTGGTTTTTGAATGAAGGACCCTGGTGACGTAAAGTTCGATGCCCGTGTAACATTGGCGCAAGCACCTTTGCTAAAAGTGTCCCGCATGGGGCTTCTGGGCGGAGTCGCCAGGCAGATTCCATTGACATCCTGAACCGCATGCTGCGGTTCAACCCCAAGGACCTGGTACCGGGGGACCTTTCGGAGACAAAAGGGGGGTCACGGGCGGGACGGCCCTGGGCCCTGGGCTTTCCCGGAGCTTTTGAGGACGAAGGCTGAGGGTTTTAGAGAGCTTTAGTGGCTGTAGCGATGAGGGCATCGCTTGAAGCGAGATTCTGCGCGAAAAGATGGCATCAAGACTCGATTCCTGCCTGCCGCAGGACCGCATCGCAGTGACCGAAGCCCTGGAGCACAGGCGGGCCTCACGGAGAAGCACCCAGCACATCAGCGGCGTGCGTGTTGGGGGCTGGTTCGTATACTGCACATGACGAGACATTTCGTGACGCAACTCAAGGGTGCCACTTCCTAAAACTGCCGGACTGTGTTCTTTCTGTCAGACTAAAGCTAGGCTTCCTGCCTGGGCTGCATGCTGCACCCCTCCTGCAGGTTGTTCACGAGCGGACCGAACGTCATCCGTGACACCTCCAGGGAAACGCTCCTCGAACAAGTTATGTTCAGCTCGTGCGAATTTGGTTGACGGTTGTCATGCGCACGAAACCCAATCATGACCTCAGACACTGCTGGCTGGGTAATTGTTCTTGGGCCTCTGCTCTGAACTTCCAAGCGGGCTTTCGCAGAAGGATATCGGGTCAAATTGCCGGCTTACCCCCGCTTTCAACATGAGCCAGAGCTCATCAAATTGAGGTTTTGTGGTAAGGCATCGGCCTCATCGTTACATCCTTTGGTTTTGGCCGTAGACCTGAAGAATGACGGGACGGAAATGAACCTAGCAGACCTAGCACAGAGGATAAGGTGTCAGCAGACGTTTTCTGCTCCGGTTTTATCAGGTGATTTGAGAAGGGAGAAGGCACTTGGTCGCCTTTCCTTGCTTGAAGAAGCTGGGTGTCAGATTGGTGGTTCTCCAGAACTGGAGGTTGTGCACCCCTTGATACTCTCGAGCATCGGAAGCAGAAGCCGAGGTCTGCACCGAAGTACGTCACACTGGAATTCGAAAAGGCCAGCACTTGTGAGTTTCCTCGCTAGTCCGCCCATGTGATGACACCAGCCCCACCCCGCTGAGAAATCCACTGGCCAAGAGCATGAGTGATACTGCCGCTGCCCATGCCAAAAGCACAGACAATCATCAAGAAGCGTAAGCAGCGGTGGTGTGATGACCACCACCATTGGTACAGGACCAAGAAGTGAACGGTAGTGTTGAGCTCCTGATTTAGAGAAGCAAGAGATTGAGGAAGAAGAATTCAGACAAGAACGGACCTCTCTTATCGTTGTTGCAGGAGCCAGACCTGGATGAGAAGCTCCTCAGGAAGTACTTTTGCAAGGCCCGGCTCCGGTTTGCTGCGGCATTGGAGCTTGCGTGCAGGGCCGTGCAGAGCGCAGGGTTTGGGGCTTCAGGTGCCTGCCCTGCCTGGTCCACTCAAATTCTCTGCTTGTTGGCGTTCGGTATCAACCGGTGTCCAGCGTGGAAACTTTGAGGCTTTCAGTTTTCGCCTCACGTGGTCGACACCAACTTAGCTTGTGGGAGCTCTGTCTCGTTTGACAAAGCACACTCCTGTACAAGGCACGTCCTAAGGAGCAGCTTAGCAAACACCTGCTGGCCCATAATGCCCGCTAAAGCTCGCAGCAAGGCCCCAGATCATGAAAGATAGACACATCCCCGAATAAGCCTTCACTCGAAGCGTCAGCCTGCAGGAAATCAAGAAGTATCATCCGGAAATGCCGGACATGTGAGCTCCTTCGAGCGATTGGGAAGGTTTTGCGATCCGCACCCTTTCGCCTTGAGGCTTAGCTAGGCTTCGATCAGATGAACTTTCTCTGGGCTACCGATCGCAAAGCCAGCCCTGCTCTACAGGGCGTCTGCCACTGGTATTCATCATACAAAGCGGACGGTTATGAAGCCATGCTGATGCACCACCGGGGACCACAATTTCTCACCAGGGTGTAGCGGCGAGTGCTTCTTTCACCAAAGCACAACGTTGCTGGCATTTATGGCGCCTGATATATAGCAGTATGCTGAAAGCCATGTTGGAAGTTGTTGCAAGACAAAGTAGGCAGAGAAAGGCGATCAGAAAACACCCGCCCAAGATCGTGGAAGCAGTTGAATCCATGTAGCAGTCGTGGTCGTAGCCGTAGTAGTATGCAGCAGTCATCGTCGTCGTCGTCGTAATCGGAGTAGGAGCTGAAATAATGAAACAGGGCGGGCACTTATAGCATCAACACCAGAATCACCCATGAGATGCAAAGCCACGCCAAGGACGCTGCCAGAAGTCTCAACCGTACGGACACCAATATGGCTAGCGACGTCCCTGACAATCCGCAGCTCCACCATTGCCAACATGATGTGGCTTGTGCAGGTGCCCCCATCCTCCCTGCGTTTGCATGGACGCGAACTAGCAGAATCACAGTGGTGCCTCCGAATCAGAAGCCCTGAATCTGAATATCTCTCCAGCCACAAGGGCTTTGCCATGGCAGCACCGGCGCGAGCAGAAGGCTTCCATTCAGAGACATTCTTCGGGCTTAGAGGCGGAGCTCTAAGCAGACGCTTCATAAAAAGTAAACGCCTGCAAGCCACGTTCTGTGCTCGCAATGCTTTCTAGCAAGTAGGTGCTCATGTTGCCATCACGCGTTTGCCGATTGCCATAGATAGCTTCTCGCGGAACGCAAGTCTTGCATTCAGGGCCAATACATGCTAGAGATCAAGACTTACCTTCGTGCGGCTTTGTAGGGCACACAACAACTGGAACCCTAGAAATCCAACACGAACCTGCTGCTGGTTGAAGCCTGGAAGCCTTCTGCACTGCCTGGCTGGACAGCGGGCAAGTCATAGATTAGGCCTTCCGGGTTTATTGTCCGTTTTTGTTGTTGTTAAGTACCACAACCAGTCATGTTTGACGGATTGTGTTTAGGCTATCATAGGAGGCTTAACGGTTTAGATCAGTAGACTTCTCCATGGTGTCTCAGCTGGGGCCATCTTCGTTTTCGGAGTGATGAGGTATTTGTCGAGCTTCCGGCTAGCGCAAGCAACATCTAGGGTTTCGCCTGGGGCTTAGGGCCCAGAGCGGCCCCTGAGACTTGTTGATCCGCAGCTGTGACAACGGGCTTATCACTGTTGTTTTTGTTTGTTCAATATGCGAAACTGGATTGATCTCTCGCAGCAAGCTCTTGGTTGATGAGATGTTGCTAATGTGCGCAGCAGGTGAAGAGTTGGACCTGAATCCGAAAACCAAGGCCTAGTTTGGAAGATGCTTTACGATTCGGCAACACCACGTTGTAGGGAAAGACAACATGACGGGGCAAGCCGTTAATCAGCGGTGAGAAGAAGAGATACAAGAAAATTGAAAGGCCACCCATGCCGCTGTCCAGAAAACATCAGGTGTGTGAAAGCTTCGCGTCGACACTCCTTGGCTGTTCATACACAAATCCCGGGCCCATCTCCGGGGCGATTCGAAATAGTATTTACTTCTGGTTAAATAACCTTTCTGAGAATCATAGAAATATTGAAGTAGCTTCCAGATTGCCGTGGATTTTAGGGGTTGTACTTGCTGCAGTCCCGTTAGCCCCGAAATAACAAGTCCGTAGTCGTCCATGTCTCAAGATCTGGTGCGAGCCTCGAAGCTTTTTGTGCATTAGGTAGTTCCTTACACCACACATTCAAGTTAGTTCGGCAGCCGGAGCTTCAACGAAGCTTGCTTTGTGGCAGACATCTTTCGCATTGCCCTTTTGCAGCGTCACGAGGCTACGTTGCAATACAACCAGGCAAGGCTTTGTTGTAAGGCCAATGGTTGCCTCGAACCCAGCATCGACCCCAGAAGAACCCGTAGAACAGCTCATGGCTACTTCCGGGCATCATGTCTATGATAGTCTATGTAGGCTATATTATCGAAGTACGAGGTGCCCACATTGGGGATGTTGAACCAGAACGTGGCCCCACATTGGAACGAAAGGTTACCTTTGATCCGTCCGTCAGCTCGCAGTGATACGAAGGATAGATTTTCGGGAGGTGATTAAGCCCCAATACTGGATCAGATCACATGTCGACGTCGGTATGATTACTGTATAATGTACCCCCACCACCCTCGAACTCGTGAACAGACTCGCAAGCCTGTCAAGTAAAGAAAACCCAAACCATAGCTGGGCTTTGGCAGTCTTGGGGAACCTGGTGGCCACACTCCAAAGCTTGCATGACTACTCGGAGCCGCAGCGGATGCAGGATTGCAAATTTGACCCTTGACGGGCCTTCGGTGGCAAAAGGTTCGTTGCCGTAGCCTGTGGGTAGCCTCCCTAGGTCTGCCTCTATGTGATCATCTCTTTCTCAGCCCTGTTTGGTGAGAAGAGAGAGAGAGAGAGAGAGAGAGAGAGAGACAGAGAGAAGACGCTCTTGAGCTGTGCTCGCACAGCTGGTGGCTCAAGCTACACTCACTGCGAGAGACTTCGGAAATCGGAAGTCGGCGCACTCGCGTCCTCCCAATTTAGACTATCACCAAGGCCCTCCTACACTGCCACACTCGATACCTGGTACGGTCATCTCGGATCCAAGTTCCGTGGGAATGTGGGAATGAGCGTCAAGCGAGTACAGGGTGAAGCTGAAGATTCACTGAGCTTGCTGAGAATCCTGTCGGGGGTGCCTGCCTCTGTTTGTCCTTCCGTGCCGCCGTCGCCACTTTGTAAGAAGGCCCTTTGATCTCAGTTGGAGCTGCGAGGAAGCTGATCTTGTTGGCGTTTGGGTTCTGGGTTGAACCTTTTCTGGTATGGACATCCATTTCCGACCTGCGGGCCGAAGGTTTTGTGGTTTGAAGCGGTGCAGTCCAAGAGGTCTTGTGAGGATTCCGGCCTGACTGGGTGAATGGTCGCCGACATGCCCAAGAAGAGTCTGATGACAGCCAAACAGGGCATGCGCCGTCCCATAGCCCAGAAACCAAGACCCGGATAGCCCGCAACCTCAGACAACCCTTGTCTCTGAAACTCCTACGTAACAGACAGTTCCAGTGGCAGGTGTTGCAGACAAGTCCACCACAGCCCAACCTGTGTGAAATATCACATGTGCTGGCATCACCTTCCTCAGATTTTTTGGCTCGAGCACTGAGCCCCGTCACATCTCCAGAATGCGAAAAGCCGCCTGCCAGCAGTCAGGCTAGTTTCCTTTCGAGGAATCTCCTTGCCCACGGGACGGAAGAAGTTGAGTGCCTGGCTTTCCAGGTGCTTATCCTCCTCATTCCTCTGGGCTTCGCCCAGGACGGGAGTTTCGTTGGTTCGGGTCAGTGGCCGTACTCTAATTGCATCCCGGCAGCTGGGTGACATGCTTGGCGAAAATGAGGCATGAGCTGGCCCTGTCAGTATATGTGCAGGAGCCCCTCCTTCACTTGGATGACGAGTGCGCAGAGGACCGTACCGACTGTGCGTTGGCCGCCTTGCAACACCGAGGCATGAGCATCATGAGGTCAGAAGCAAAATCTTGGCTTGGCTCTTCGTTGAAGCCTTCGGTTGTTGGCAGGTGTTCTGACCAAGAAAATGGATTGCCACACTGCGGTGCAAGGAGAAGGATGCTTCGATGAGGTGGGGCAGTGACATTTGAACTGTGACAGTGACTGCGAGCTGGAGGTGACTTGGGCACGAGAGGTCGGCCTCCGCCGCGTGGCCCAGCGAGAGAGAGAGCGAGAGAACGAGGGGGAGGGGAAAGGCCCCAACAGTTAAGCAGACGCCGTTGTTTATACTTGGCCGAGGCACGCACCCAGACTGGTATCCGGGTCTCACCGCGAATTCTTCGGTGGTGGCCTTGTCTGGGCCGACGGAGGCCTTTTAGAGGGAATGGCTTTTGCCGAGGTGGCAGACTTCCAGCTCTTGGTCCACGACCAAGCTCCAGGCGGAGTGCTAAGAAGCTTCATTCACTCAGTGTCCGTCTCAACCTGACAAGGCAAATGCCCGATACCTTGTGGTGCACTGCCTCGAACTCAGAGTTTGGGCTCGGCTTTTGATCTAATGAAATGCTCTCATCGTTGCAGTTCACTAAGGCCTCGCCCGAAAAAGCCTCTCGCGGGCGGCCTCGTGGCCCCCACAGAGGAAGGTGGAAGCGTCATCATAAAGGCTCGTGCTTGGTGTCTTCCATATGAGGCAGCAGTAGTAGTAGTAGTAGTAGTAGTAGTAGTAGTAGTGGTGTCCATTCCCACGAAAGGAAGCCCTACTACTGCTACTACTACTACTACTACTACTATTTCTCCTACTATTACTACTATTACTACTATTACTACTACTACTGCTACTACTACTACTACTACTACTACTACTACTACTACCACCAATACCCCTTCTCAGAACATTCATAAACCCCAAACTTTCCGAAGGTGTTGAGCTACAACCTATTCTGGTGGAACCTCTACGGTGTCCGCGGCGGTAATGGGGAGAGTGCCGGCCACCTCATCAAAGCTGAGACCCTGGAGGACTCAGAGTTTTTGCCTTGCAAAGTTTCCCTTTTGTCTCCAGCGGCAGGCATCTAAGCATTCCAGGACGGGCTCTTCGATGTCATGGGTTTCCAGGAATGTGAGAATGGCATCCGTGTACTGGAGCCGGCGCGGTACCTGAAAGGACGTTGCACCTTTGTGCGCAGGTGTCCTGTGTGCATTGAGGTGGGCTTGATGGACCGCTATGAAGTTCTGCAAGGCTTGCGCCTTGCGCTGTTTGAGCGGTGGACACCATGCGCTGAAATTCTGCAGCAGGTATGCACGCCGTGTGCTTAGCCTACCGGAAGGAAGCCTGGAGATTGCTGTCAAGAGGCAGCAAGGACGTTGGGGAGGACTTGCTCGCAGGTGCTTTGGTCCTCCACTGTTCGGCTTGCTGGTCCACAGCAGGATATGAAGTCCCACTACTACGGACACCGCGGCGTGGTCTGGATGCGCCTTGTTCACAAAACCACTGGCAGCCACTTAACTTGCATTTGACTCAAGCGCGAGACACGCCTGAGCACATTACGAGCTTCCTTTTCGGATTTGTGCTGCGCATCTTCTTTTTTGCTCCGCTAGGAAAGCTGCTCTTCGCCAACCACCACGGGCCGCTGGAAGTGAACTCTGGTGGTGCCCGCGGCGGTGACTCCATCGCCAAGAACCTGATAGAAGTTCTTCGGAGCAGTTCCGAACCAGGCTGAGTAGAGGATACGAAGGCACCGCCTACGCAGTGTCAGCACATGCAGGGGACTCCATCATACTGGTGGGAGACTTCAACGCCAACTCGGCGTCCCGCACCATCCAGGACACCGTGATGGGCGGCAATGTGTGGGGTTTCGTGACGGTTTCTGGGCTGGATCCCATAACATGGGCTGGCATAGACTCCAAAAGATCCATCCCAAGCACTTGCCTCAACAGGCTCTTTGGTCCCGGATGGTGATGCTCTACGGCGGTGGGTCCTTCGGCGGAGTAGCACCTCGCCCATGATTTGAAGACACGCCCATAAGACCATGGGCCTCGGCAGTGCCTTGTGAGAGCTTGCTTAACAGGACAACATCTTCGGCAACATGGACGCGGCCTCCGTCGTGAGACGCAAGAATCTGGGCAGTGGAGGTGACCAGACGCAAAGGAGACTTTCGGAGAATTGTCCGGAATTTTCGTTCCTTTTTCGGGGTGTGGTAGCTGCTCTTCCGGGCTTGCCTTCCTTCTTCATTCTGCCTTCTGCGTGTGCCGAGGCAGTGACCACGATGCCATTACAGTGACGGTGTCCGTGGGAACAGGAGCGCCGGAGGAGCTGCAGAGGCCGGTCGCAAAGCAAAGGAAGGACCAAAAACGGAGGAGCCACGGAGCCACACACCCCTTTGCAGCTTTGGCTTTGTGCCGGCTCAGGTCCCCGCTCCGCCGAACCGGCGAGGTGCCGAGTGCTGCCCTGCAGGCGGGGACGAGGACAGAAAGCATCGAAGTCGAAGTCCAAAGGCCGCTTCGGATCTCAAAGCGAGGCAACGGATGCGCTGAAAGTGAATCCGCCTGGCGACGACTGGCAGCATTTCTGGTGTGGACAGCTGGAGCCAGATGTGGGCTATGCGCCTCAGCAGTTTGCGTTGAGTTCACCTTCGCAACCATGCAGGGCCTGCAGGGTCTTCCAAGACAGGTACCTCCAGTGGGCAGCTGGTCCCGAGTGATCAGCCACCGACCTGAGATGGGCGACGACTTCGATGTCGCAGCTCCGCAGCGATGCTGCCGCCTTTGCCAGCGAGAGCCCAGGCTCAGCAGAGGATGAAGTTCTAGCGGTGTGGAGATGCAGCCTCAGCAGCTGCCTGACAGGTGCAAGTCGTGGACATGGAAAGAAGGAGGGCCTCGACGCTGCGAGATGTATGGAGAAGTGACTTGCCTGCAGCTTCGGATCAAATTGAATATTGCCAGACACCGGCCAGTGAGAGCAGTACCAGTGGCTGTCTAGATGGAAATTGTAATCCCACTCTCTTTCTCACCTCACCGGTCTATGACAAAGTCGTAACTGTAGTAAGCAGTGACGGATGCACACAAGAGGCATGCTTGCAGAGAAGCAGCACCGGCGACACCATCGCAACACGTGGCCGTCGTCGTCACAGTCGCAACGGTAGTAGTGCTCGTGTAAGTCTGGTGAGGATAGTAAGTGAGAGCAATTGTGGCAATAGATGGCAGTAAGTGGTAGTGGGACGTGGCATCATTATCATTACCAGGATCAAAATCTTCACGACCAGCATGTGCATTATGACAAACACGGTGATGATGTGGATGAAAATGGGTATCGACGACGGCTTTGAGTGTGCAAAAATGACGGCGTTGATGAAGGTGATGGTGGTGTAGATACACTTCTTCAAAGGAAACCATAAAGATGCATTTGGAAGAAGAGTAGCAACGCTAAACAAGCAAACATGTTGCAAACTGCGAGTATGCGAGTAAAAGCAGCAGTACGATGGCCAAGGCCCCAAGCAAGAAGGAATCCTTGCCCGGCCATGTCTCGGGGCTGCCAGCCGTTGAAGCAGCCAGAGAGGCAGGTTTGCATTCTTCCAGCCCGGTCTTGTGCATTCGTTTGGGAGCGCTTTGGTTTCAACTTGCTAAACGACTGAGCAGTCACAAGACCATGAAAAGCGGCTTCAACACATCTTGCTGGATTGCGTCAATTTCTGATGATCAGCGCCTGTTTCTTGAGAGAGGCCGTCCAGGAAGCAGCTACTGCACTTCGATCCCTGCCACGTCCGTGAGAGCNNCACACACACACAGAGCCCAAGTTGCGATGTAGAGTGCAGCAAGCATTGAGGATCAATCGTAGATAGTCCTATTGCCTTCTTGCTCCGGCCTTTCATTGACAGCGTTTTGTAGAGCGTCGATCGTCTTTCTTTCAAGAATTACGATCAATGTCACTGGGTCGGTAATGGTATGCTTAAAATTAAAACGTGCTCAATTCAGAAAGTCATGCATCAACTTTGTAGCCTCTGCTCGCCACAGTTGCTGAGCATATTTGTTTGCTTCAGCGTTCTGAATGCTAAAGGCAACGCAGAATGCAAAATGGAATTGTTTTTTGGCTTTCTTACGCGTTTCAATTCTCAATTCCGTTTTTCAAAGTCTTGCTGTCTTGTCGTTTTTCGAAGTTATATACGACACGAGTACGAGATTATTTCACTGAAAATTCCCAAATCATTTTCTATAATATTTGGAATGCTATCAATATTGACAGGTCGATGAATAGCAACGAATTGGAGGCTCTTGAAAAAATTTCGGTCGAGGAACTTTCACTTGAAAAAATCAAGAGTATAAAATTTCTCAAATAATATTTGAATTTAATTATACGATTCTTTTTCTTTTTTTCAAGCATTGAATTATGAAATATTTATATAGAATCAAAAATTCTTATGTCTTATATAAATATTATTATATTTTGAAAATCTGATAATATATATATATATAAATTGAAGAAAAGAACCGAATTATTATTAAAATATTTTGATTAGAATTCAAAATAAAATAAAATTCAAAAAAATATATAATTTAATTCAGTCTAATTTTTTTTTGAATTAAAAATATTGAAATTAATTTCTATAATTTTTGAATAGAATTGATATTTTAATTTTTG